GTATGCTTTTTCCATTACTTTCATAAAGGAATAAAAGCTAATCATAATTAATTGAATTAACATAGCCAGTGTTTTAGTAACGAAAAAGTTATTCCGGATATTTTTATAATTTAGAAAGGAAAGATAATTATATTTATACCAATTATGTAATGTACATTTGCTTATGTAATTGATGTATAATAGAATGTATTTTATGAAATACTTTATATAATTTACAAAAACTCACGCGCTTGACTGCATTTTATAATCTCCTCAGAGACTTTTCTATTAGATGTTTAAGAATTTTTAAAGTTATAGTTGAATGTTACTAGAGTTTATTGTAACATTTTTAGTTATTATATCGAATGCTCTAACATCATATCAACTGTATCTTTTAACTATTAAATTTAATATTGAGCAGACGTAGTTTTACAAAAATCAGTATCATTAAAACAGGCCATTTTAAACATTTATGATACAAACAGTAAATTTTTAAAAATAGTAAATTTACCATAAGTTTTATGTATTATTCTCATGGCACCTTTTTACTCTTCTTTTGATTATAAATAAAGAACAAACAGCAGCAAATACATACTTTATCAGGCTCCATAATTAAAGATTTTTAATTTGGTAACCTCAAGGCATACAGTCGACACGACGTAGAACAAACACTATAATAAGAAACATACAACTAAAAATTTTGTGACTCCACTTTTACAAACACATAAATTTTAATAATAATTATTAAATAATTAAATTTTGAAAATATTTATATATGATATGTATATATATACATATATATCTTCAATTTTTCTTTCTTTAGAATCTTTCTCGACAACATTTGCGAAGCTATTATGAAACGTAGAGCATATTCTATTATATTTCAATTTTTTAAAATGTATTTTTGGTCAATATTTAGCAATTGTATCGACAAATTTACGTACTTGCTAACTTACTTTCACAATTACGAGGTTAAGTTCGGGAAGGGGCTGTTCTCTCGATACTTGTCTACTCTCGAGCCTTTGTAAGTCACACTGTAAGTCGAGAATGAAGGTACCAAAGACTGCTTGCCTTTACCCTGCCTGAAGAGGCTGGAATAAGAAAGCGAAGGGGTTCCGAACATGCTTGAGGAGACGGAAGAGTCTCGGTCTCAAGGAACTTTAAGGAACAATCGCGCACTAGATATCGCAATTTTATTTCAGCCGTCGTATTTTCTCGTAACACTTGATGTTAAATTTATTACATTATTAGATTAAGTTCTACAATTTCTGTGTTCTAAAGCGTTTATGAAATTAAAACATTGCGGCTCAACATAGCTCTTGTGACTTGAAAGGATAAAATACAATCGAGATATCTGTATAAATATTTTTATTATGGTTATTAGCTATCGATAAATTGATTTCTCAACACATTTTCTGAACAAGCAATTAAACGTATGATATCTATCCGCTCGTATAAAATGTTCTTGATTGGTTGGAGATGATCGGTGAAAAGATTGGTGGAAATTCTTGCCTCGTGACTTTCGTTTTATAAGTCGAAGATGAAAATATAGAAAACGATTTAAAAAACAGTGATTTTGAATTTTTTGTATCGAGTTCAAATAACATTCAGAAACATTTTTGTCCTCTCTCTCTCTCTCTCTTTCTCTCTCTCTTCCTCTTTTCCAATCCCTCTCTTGTTCAATCCTTTTCTTTCATCTTTCTATCTGTTCTCTTTGGTCGCGTAACCCCCTTGTTTCTCGGTAATTAAACGGGGGTCGATGTCAATTAAATTATTCCCGCCGTGTTTCACACGTGACGTGACGGTTCTCCGAGAGATGCGCTACTATAATCGATAGTCGCTCGACTATTCATTAGTTGTAAATGTCGCAGTATAATTGTGCAATAGTTAAAATTGATTTAGTGTGGTTATTTGCGTTTTAATTGTTTAGTTATAATTTATAATATATAGACAGTTTTAACATTGTAAAATCAATGTACTTTAATAATTTACTTTATATATCAGTTGTTGAAAAATTCAGTTTATCTCCTATAAAATGTTTCAGAAAAAGTGATGAGGGCTATTAATAATCAATTTCATTTCATTGTGCGCAAATATAATAGAAAAACATTTCAAGATTTTAATTCAAGTTTTTTTAAGTTAACGCGTACGTTCAACTGTCACGAATGTATTATTCGGATTATTTCTGTACTGATAACATAATATTTAAAATGATTTAAAATGACGATTTACCATCTCGAATGGATGCTTTCAGTGCTGTTTAGCTCTTCGTCTCTTTCGCCTCGTTTCCATTTCGCCAGCGAAAAGCATTTCTTCGAAAGCATTTTGCGAACATTTCCTCTCGCCAGAGAATAGTGATAACAATTACTAAAATATCTCGGCATGACTGCTGCATTTAATTACGACATTATCGTTGTGGTTTTAATGATCGAAGGCGTCACACATACATTTAACCTATTCTTAAAAATCTGTTATAATGACTCGTTTAGTATGTTTCTTTTTTTTTTTTTTTTTTTTAAACCAATGATATTGGGTATGTTAAGTTAGCACCCCAACTATAGTACTCAGGAGTTCTGATTAGAGTTCCCACTTCCTTTTGACGAGACGAAGAGTTCCCTATAGTGAATAACAAGAGTTTCGCTCAAAACATTTTTTTTACATTTTTTAAAAATGGGGTGCTAACTTTTTATCGAATTTCGAGGTGGAATAGTTCTTTTGAAGAATTAATTCTTCAAAAATTTTTAATTTTTTTTTATTATTCGAAAAATTTTTTTACATATCAGGAACTCTAGGTAATCGCAAATTGAAGCTATTAAGCCGCTCAGAACTATTCCACCTCGAAATTCGATAAAAAGTTAGCACCCCATTTTTTAAAAATGTAAAAAAAATGTTTATTGAGCGGAACTCTTGTTATTCACTATAGGGAACTCTTCGTCTCGTCAAAAGGAAGTGGGAACTCTAATCAGAACTCCTGAGTACGAGTTGGGGTGCTAACTTAACATACCCAATGATATTTATTGAAGTTAATACGAGAAACGAGTCTCTCTTTCTTAAATAAATTGTATAAAATATTAAATGTTTTCATCCGAAGGAAAACCGTCTGTTGAAAAGTTAAAATACATATCTTCTCGGCCTTTTCGCCCGATACTCAACTTTTTCATTTTCAGTTCTCATTTCCATTTCGAGCGATGGAAAAAGAAACGTATTCCTCCGTTTCGCATTCGATATTTACTGCCGGCCGTGAGACGCCGGTGCAATTTTAAAAGAGCGTCTTTAAGGGTCCTCCTTCGCGCGCCCAAAGCGAACGCCGGTAGTTTACCGGGGGTTATTTTCAACTCTCTGGATTCGACAATTCGCATCCCGATGAAAACGTTTGCCGACTAAACGAGACCGCGATTCCGAAGGCGAGCACAAAAAAGTGGGATGGAGGAACGAATGCGAATGAACGGAAGAATGAATCTTTCGTGTCGCATACCATCGTTTTTTATGTCTTCTCACATTTTTCCGTGCGCGTTGTTTCGCCATTTATGCGAGTTTGCGTTTACACAGCATCAGGTATGCATAGAGGCAGAAAGTAGCTCGGCGGTAATTTGCAAGCACGTATTGAAAAGAACGTGATTCGACGAAATGATCGTAATTTCAATTTACATACAGAATAATTCTATATTCACAAAATCAGTGATCTTATAATTATATAATACATACAGCGCGTATACGAACACACATATGTATCTATATATATCATCTTACATCTAATACATATTATATTATATATTGAATCAATTTTGTACAAATTATAAAATTTCTTTTCAGTTTACATTTCATCTATATATTTATGTAGTAATCGCAATTAAACTTGAATAGTACAAATTATATGCAACACGTGATATTACGAGAACTGTCGACTAGTACAGCGTATTAGTGCGGTTTGCGTTTTCCAATGCCGCCTTCGACAGCGATTTTAAAGACACAAGAGAAAAAAATTGCAACTCACGCGGTGACTACGACGAGGGTCAGTTGATATTGGATTCGAAATGTACGAGATCGGCAATATCCTTCAAGCCTCTTCCCTTTGCATTCCTCGATGGAGAAAGGTTTCCTCTCACCGGGCATCTTCGGGATAAAGCCACGAGAGTAGTGGAAGGTTTGCATGCCACGCTGCATGAACGCGTTCGATATTCCGATATCCTGATATGGGGAGTGTTTCTCCTCGCGACATCCTCGCCTCCTCTCCGGGATATACACCCTCTTCATGGAATTTATTATCCGCTCTCAACCTGCGCTCTGTGCACTCCCCCTCCTCTCCTCTCTCTACGCTGAAAACCCCCGGGGATCACCTTACTGAGGATTCGGCAGTTTCCATACCACGATGGTGGCTGTTTTTCCACGAGACTTTCTTGAAAGAAGCTCTGATCCAGCTGAAGACTCCTAATAGTTCTTTCGTTCGCGGAAAAACTTCCGGGAGAGCAAAATCTCGTAATCGATTGTCGTCGGTACATGAAGTTGATAAAAATTTTACACGCAAAAATGGCTTTCTTGAAATAACTTATATTTACGAGCGCTTTTAAGCTCTAACCATTCGAATCTATCGGTGAGTTAATTTTTAATTTAATAAAATTATTTATTCAGTCTCGTAATCATTCTTCTACGAAGCATTTTGGATCCGAGCTCGTATATTTAGGTATAACTATTTGTTACATTTAAAGTGCCTTGTAATTTATCAGCTTATTTAACTTATTGTTGCAGAGATCCACATCTCGATATTTCGCGAGCTGATGACCTCGCAAGCAGTCGTGCACTCACCTCTGCATCGATTCACTCGAAGCATCTCAGTCTCCCTTCAGCAACGGTGAAGGGCCAGCATACATGGTGGTGGTGGGTCAGCGAAAAATGCGATAGGAACGGAGGGATACGATCACGAGAGGACGAGGAAGAAAACGGGAGGGTTTGTTGCCCGATGAGAGAACACCATGTGCTTGATCGTACTGGTCTGGCGTTGGAGGGCTGCCCTCTTCAGCACAATGTTGCTGCTATTGTCCTGGGGAACAAACGCGGCGGAGGACTGTCCAAGCATGTGTGCGTGCAAGTGGAAAGGCGGGAAGGAATGGGTTGAGTGTGCGAACCGTGATCTCAAAGGATTACCGCAAGGTGCTCGAGAAGAGACGCAGGTGCTCGACCTGTCAGGCAATCATCTGATCAACCTACCAGCGGAATGCTTTCGCGCCCTTGGTTTGATCAACCTTCAGCGTCTCTATCTGGGCAAGTCCCAAATCAATCATATTGCCTCTGAGGCGTTCGTCGGTTTGGTTGGCTTAGTAGAGCTCGATCTATCTGAGAACAAGATCGAACAGGTGCCTACAGATACGTTCGCATCCTATCCAAGTTTAATGAGGCTTATATTGAATGGGAATCCAATTAGGGAAATTCGCCAAAATGCATTTCTGCGTTTGGTGCATCTTACTAATTTGGAGATCAGTAAGTGCGCGATAGAGATTATCGAGCAGAACGCTTTTGAGGGCCTCCAGTCGCTGGAGTGGCTTCGACTGGACGGCAATCGACTCACCTACGTGCCAGATCATACTTTGCCGCTGGGGGGAAATCTCAGAGGATTGACTCTTCACAACAATCCGTGGCAGTGTGACTGTAGACTGAGAACAATGCAGGCCTGGTTGAAGGAATCAGCTCCAGCCGCACCGCAAGAGTCCGAACCCGTCTGCGATTCTCCAGCGAGACTACATGACAAACAAATCAAGAGTCTCAAGATCAACGAATTAGCCTGTCTACCGCGTATCGATCTTCAAGATCATTTAGAGATTTCCGAGGGCGGGAATGTCACTTTAAGATGCGATGTTCATGCAGTTCCGACTGCTAAGGTCACTTGGTGGTTCAATGGAGAACCATGTGAGCTGCAACATGAAAACAATTCCATGGCTAGCAGTATTTCTACATTTCCAAGGTAAGCGAACTTTTCAACTTCTATTATAGAGCTGTAACAAAACTTTATCCATGTTTCTCTTGTTTCGAAACGTGTTTCTCTGCATCTATTTTAGGTATATCTATCGACAACGAGGCGGGACCAACATGAGCAGCACGCTGTTCCTTTACTCGGTCGAGTCACTCGACGAGGGCACCTACAGCTGTATCGCAGAAAACGGTGCTGGTTCTGCAGTGGCAAATCTTTCTCTTCGCGTACTCTTTCGTGAGAAACCCACCGTGGAACCACCCTCCGACGATTCCAGTTCCGGTTATTTAGCCGCAATTGTTGCTGGAGCATTGGTAGGCACTCTTTTGGCACTGAGCTGTTTGGTAGGTAGCGTGATATACTGTGCGAAGAAGCGGCGTCACGATCGGAAGCGCAATTCGAAGACGTTGGTGACGCAGAGCAAGTCGGTGCTGCCAATCACGAAGGATACTACTAGCAGTTCCTGTCGGAAAGGTAACGGTAGCCTGATAGGTGGTCTTGAACATCAGCAGATGGTTTCGTATACCGAACGTGAGATTAACCGTGCGGCTACTTTGGAACGTCGGGAACACACCAGGAACAATCATTTAGATCGGGATGCGTATTCAGTAACGAGTCCAGTTGCCAAATATTTAACCGAACCTGATCTAATTAATGAGGTACCCGAGAACACTGAGGTTGGCTATGGTCAATTGTACGGACGACATCATCCGCGTGCCGGCGGTGTTGACCGGCAGATCTTGGAGTACGACTCGGGCTATCCACTGCAACCCGATCTGCGACCGCCGCCGGTGCTACCGCAGATGAGTTACTTGGATCAGGATGGTTATCCACTCAATTTTGGCCTGCCCAAGATTACCTTTAGTACTGCTAGTACTCTGCCCAGACTCCGACAACGTATGTCGGAGCCAGGCTCAGCAGCTGCGCCGGCGGCTAGATATTCACGCGAGGCGGAATTCCTCGCAAGATCACCGGGATATGATCCCATTTTACCGCGAACCGACGCTAGGTACACCGCCGAGGGTTATCCTTATCCGGTGCATCAACATCAACATCAACATCAGCATCAGCATCAACCGCAACAACAACAGCAACAATCACAATCGCAGACAATACCGTCACCGCTACCAATTCAACCGGTCGAGCAACCGATTCAACAGCAACTGCCCATTCAGTCGCCAGTATCACCTGTCGCTGTTTTTCCAGATGTACCTTTTATACCATCACCTCCTGCTGCTTATAGAGGCGAAACCACTCCGTTATCTCCACGGTCCCTTCTCGGCAAAACTGCTCGCGAGGCCGCGGCTGCTGCTGCCGCGAGAGCGGAGGAGATGCAACCTCCGAATCATCCGGAAAGTCCTGATGAAGGTTACGTAGGGGACGCTATGGATGTCTGAGGAATCCGATCCCGACAAGAGTTTGATTGTCGGATTTGAGAAGTGCGGAAAATGCATCCTGGATCTGAATAAAATTTCTAAATCGCGAATGAAATTAATGTATCATTAGCTTTTTTGAGTTCATCCTTATTTTTTATTTCCTGAGTTCTATCTTGAAGAAAAAGGATAAGATTGATTGATTTTTTGCGGAAAATATCATGATTACAATTTTTTGATGGAAGTGATCATTTTTATATCATACAAACTTTCTTCAAAGTATATCACCTCTACTATGTAATTATTATTTATTACTCAATTTCTACTAAAAAAAAAAGGTTTTATACATATATATCTTAGGACAATAATTTAATTTTAAGGATATTTATACGTTGCATAAATATTTTAAATATCTTTAGATTAGTGTTTATTCGTTTCGAGTATAAAAAAATTATTGGAGAATAGAAATGTTCATCATTTTTGTGTGTACATTTTCATGTGTTTCTGACGAAATTACCAATCAAGAGGCAAAATCTGTCCTCATTTCTTTGCTCAACATATTGATCCAGCAAACAGAATAACGACATTTATATTTGCATCAAAGTTTGCGAATAGTTTTTATAATATTCTTCCACGCGTCAAACATAAAGAGCGAACAACGAGATATCAAGAAGGAAATCTGTCCTCGTCATGCTAAGAGATTAATTCGCGGAGAATAACAGGGTCCAGGATGTGATTGGCGGAACAGGGCCACCCGAGACGGCATGAACAAAGGACTCGTCCTGGCGATGGAGACGTAATAGATTAATCAGAAGGCATGTCTCGAATGTCGCTGTGGTGCGCAGTCCTTGTCAGAGTCGGGAAGGATGGTGGAGATGTTCGCTAGAATGCGGTGATTCTTGCATTCGCGTATTCGAAGGAAATCGACTCCGAAAAATTTACGCGGATCGCGTTTAAATGCGGAGAGTGCTTTTTCGGACACCAAGATGGCGACCGGATTTATTTAAACGGCGTGTCGCGCTTGTGAAATACGACGACGTCTTTTGGACGCGATCCAAGGAGAAACGTCGTTCGGTCGCGTTGAAAAGGAACCAAGATGGCGTGACTGATCCTTAAAGTGATAGATAAATGTTTGGTGGACTCGATCGAGTGAAACGCGCCTCATGGATCCCGAAGGCGCGCTTTCAGCATCGCGAACAAGAACGTGATTGGTGCTCAAAACGACTCCTCCGATGGAATCCACTATGAAAATGTGAAATTAATTAAATTTAATTGTTCATGTTGATCCCGTGACTGACAAAGTCCGCTATAAACTGCAAAACGAACGATATGGATGTAAAATAACGATAAAAGGAGACTGTCCTTTTTAATTATAAATACGATGGATATTTGTGAGAACTTTTATATATTATTTGCTGTGTGTCTCTTGTAACATAATTTTAAAAAAATTGTGTTGCAGAATTATTATTATTATTATATAAAAAATATATAATTTACTGCTGTTTTTTTAACGTGTTATAATTGATACAATCTGATCGCTTCGATATATATTTTTAATGGCTCTTGGATTACTCCGATATTGTTTACACAGCATTATATCCGACACATGATACGTAATACAGGATGCTCGTGACTCGGAAATCTGCTCAAGCCATTTTTGCACTCTCCCAAATAACACTTTGTTTTTATACTTTTTGAATAAACGTTTTTATTTTATTGAGGTCTCTCTCGATCCTGACGTTTTAAGGTGGAGATGCAACTGTAGCGATTCTGCTGTAGTGATAATAATGTTAACTTGGTGTTTAAGACTGGCGAATTGTGCGAGATTAGGAGCGCCATGATGGCACTCGACCTGATGTACAGAGACCGTTCAACGTACAGGATGTTCTGAAAACGGTGTATACCAGAATCGGATTGTGGAGCGAGGAATTACAGAAAAGTAAATTTTTACTTCAAAAAGAATTTAATTTTGAAAAAATTTTTACGCAAAAATTACGTTAAGAAAATCGAGGATTTTAAGAAACTTGATAATTATAAAGTTCCATATGAATTTTATTCGTTGAAATGTTAAAAATTATGATTTATTTAAATAGTTCTCAATTTCATAGTCAGATTACTTAGTTTACTAAAAAAAAGTTTGCAAGTTAATTCCAGCTCTTTGGAATGGTATACGTCTCTTCTAGGACGCCCCGTATATCTTCATATATACATATACGTATATATAAATATACATATATACAAACACACAACACGGATAGATATATACATATTAGATGGCGCGAATACTAAAAAACACTAAACGATAAAAAATCAGTGAAAGTAGTTAATTTTTTAAAGGTGTCTTTGCGAGATTGCGATTCGAGCTGGCTTCACCCTCTTAAATCATCGATCGATCTACAATCGATAGATATATTGTACAATGGGACGAAAATCATGCAATTGGTATTGTTTCTAGAGCTATATGTAATATTTGTCCAAGTTTGTGAACTTTAATCATTCAGAAAACGCTGATGTGTTGATGACGAATTATCATAACTGCAAGGTGGCGCCGGATGTGACAGAAGAATGCGCCCCGAGAAAGCGTCGAGTCCTGGAAGGTCCTTTCATCGTCAGAAGTACCCGGCGACGAGGAAACTGGTTTCCTTTCCGTTGCCGTAATCACGACGCGATTCACGGATGAACAGTGTTTGCTTTCCAGTCTGGCGACTCGCAAGGATATAGAATCCTGCCTGTGTCCTTTAAGCTTCGCCGTCGAGGTAACTCGAAATTTGTCTTTGCCTTCGAGTTTCGTATATAACAATATTTCATCTTGTTCCGAGGCAAGTAATTTATTTACATTTTGAGAAATTTCAGGCCAAACGAGAATGTTTGAGACAAGAAACGAAGAGAAATTCTTACTACGTCAGGAAATTAAAAAATTGTTTACTTTAGTCAATTAAAATTTAACGTTTCGGATTATGTTAAAATTTAACAAACATTTTTACAAGTAAATTAATAAAACAGATAATTTACGCAACATTGAAATTAAAATTTTTTTTTGTTCAAAGTAGAAGGGCAATTATAGAATTTGAAACACAAATAACCGAAATGCATTTAAATTTGATTGTACGTTTTCAGAGTCACCGACTTTCGAAATACAAGTTATATCGAGTTGTGAACGTAATTTTACGCACTGACGAAATTCTGCAAAAGGAGTTCTATATTTGTTGTTTCATTTAATTAGAACTTTTTAAACGAGCTTGCCAACGAGAATAACTTCAACCCGCGCGGTCAATTTTGTGAATTTTGATTAATTTATCGTGAATAGGCAGACTATTAGGCCGTGTTTTCGTAAAAACGTAGCAAAAATGTGTCATTTAGAATTTTTACAAACGTTTAATCAATTTTGAATCTGTTAAAAATAAATCTTTTTTTTGTTATTTTTTTTAATATTTTCATAATTATATCTTAAACTTAGGAAAAGAAGGAGAGATACGAAATGTTGCTTAGTTATTTAAATATTGCATTTTAAACGTTGAAAAGTATTCGGAAATTTAATAATTAGAAAACTCATACTTTTTCATGTAATCGCCATTTCCTTAAAGAACTTCTTTAAACGACCTCGCTTGCGGTTAAATAAATAACGTCGTTAAATCGAGTTAAATTACACGAGGAAATGCAATGTACTTCCTAGAGAAGAATCTTTTAAAAATAATCACTTCAGTTTTTACATTAGAAAAAAACTAGAAATGGATGATTTTATACCCTTTAAAGAGAACTGATTTTTTTGAAATTGTATTTTTCATTCGTAAAAATTTTTCATAGACCTCTCTAGGTGCTTCATGCATATTTATTTGCATCGATCAAAATCTGGTGAAAGGAAAATAAAAATCCAACACACATTCGAAACAATTCCTTTTTCGCGAAAAAATCTAAACTAGGGGAAGTTTGATTTTTTTTTTACTTTCTACTTCAACGCCACGCTTTTAGAAATGTGTTTTTTTTTCTCGTAGATAAAAATTTATCATCGCAATCTGTCGCTTCCTTCCTTCTCCGTGTGTATTTATTTTCGTCAAATTGACGAGCGAGCGGTTAAACGCGGGAACAAGAAAAACACTAGCAAAGTTTAACGATCTTGCTCGCAGGCGATATTGCATTCGCTGGTTTGCGGCTCGTCTGAGTCAAATGCATTCCTGTTTTTCCATCGATCCCTTTTTCCTTCTTATTTATTCCTTTTCGCTTGCGCGCACTAATTATAACCGTGGTCGCGAACTTGCTCGGTAACGATCTTGCTTTTTTTTTTTGTAGAAACGCGTCGGAAAGCTTTTCCGGATTTTCCTCGAGAATCCACAGAGACATGAGATACGTTTTTCGAAATGTATTTCATAAGAGAAAATTATACAAACGGAGTTATCTTTTCGTACAGACAATTCTCGATTGTTTCAATGACTTTCACGACTTTTAATATTTTCCGTGTAGATGGAAAGCTACAGGAACAAAATTCCGCTCTGATAAATCGGTCGAATTAAATTTCGCAAGGAAATCATACGCGCGGAATTTCATCGTATAAAGGCTTAGCGTCCCGAGATCGGTCGTGAATATTAATCGGCTTTCCTCTCACCGACTCTCGCGCAGTGAAACATTCGCGCTAGGGAAAATCTCACGAGGAAGGCAACCCGTCCTATTAACTTCCCTCGCATTCACAACGTGCTGCTACGATGCTTTCCAGTAAATGTAATCACACGTCGATGCATTAATCAGCCGCTCAGCGAAACTCATCGTAACTCCATCCATCGGATATGCATGTCAGTTAGAAGTTAAGGGTAGCGACGTCGGACGGTAGAATTTCTTGGTTAAATGGAAAATGTATCTACTAGAAATTATTATATTTATTTGTTAATTTTCATATTTATGTAAATATATTCCATATTTAAATCTTGTTCTGCCTATAGCAATATTTGTTTTAAAAGATCGAATGCTACTCATAATGAAACAGAGATACCACGGATAATTAACTGATCTTGTTTATTCGTTCTTTTCATAGAGAGCGTGCTA